TCGGGGTCGTGGGTCTAGGCCAATCTTTTACTACTGCAATCTTCTGGGGATCCACCTGAATCCCTTCACTGGAAACAACATGGCCCAGAAAGGTAACAGACTTCAACCAAAATTCACATTAGCATACAACTGGTGCTGAAAAAGGGTCTGCAGAACTGCCCTGAGGTGATCGGCATGATCCTCCCGACTCCGCGAATAAACAAGAATGTCATCAATGAAAACAATCACAAAGGAGTCTAGAAATGGCTTGAAGACCCGATTCATAAGATCCATGAAAACTGCGGGGGCGTTGCNAAGAAGAGAGCTAGACTCGGCCTCGGGGCCAATGCCACCCCAAGTGTGGTTGTGAATCATGTACCTGATGCTGTGGGTGAGAGTGACTCCCCGGTCTTGAATCTGCCTGGCCCATCTATTCTAGATCCAAGTATTCTTGTTCCAACTGCGGCAGAGGGTGCTACCATCCCTCCCGCTGATATTCCTGATCTTGATGCAATTCCAGCTTCCGGTCCCGGGGTTTCTGATGGGTACCTTAGAGGAGCCATCCATATGTTGACCCAGTTAGTGGCCGCTCAGGCCTAGAGATCTCATGATGCCCCTGCGCCCCCCAGCGGACAGGGAGATTCCGCCAGCTCCAGAGTCAACCAGTTTCTGCAGTTGGCCCCTCCAGAGTTCACGGGCACAGACCTAGAGGTCGATCTGCAGGATTTCCTTGATGAAATGTATAAGACCCTTCGAGTGATGAAGGCTACAGAGACGGAAGGGGTTGAGTTGGCTTCATACAGGTTAAGGGGAGCAGCGTATTCGTGGTTCGAGATGTGGGAGGATTCCCGTGGAGAGGGAAGACTTCCGGCTAGATGGGATGAGTTTGTAGATGCATTCATGGACCACTTCTTGCCTGCCGAGATAATGGCGGCCCGTGCCACAGAGTTTGAGGTCCTCAAGTAGGGCATTATGAGTGTTTGGGAGTACCACATGGAGTTTCTGAGGTTTTCCAAGTATGCTCCTCAGTTAGTATCGACCATGGATGCTCGAGTTCGGCGATTCGTTCAGGGTCTTAGTCCTTTGGTGGTGAATGAGGCTGCTACAGCGGCCTTACACTCAGATATGAATTATGGGAAGATTGTGGGGTTCGCTCAGGCCACAAAGGCTAGGAAGTTGAAAATACAGGCAGAAAGGGAGAGTAGCAGCAGGGCCCGATCAGCGGTCACTCAGGGAGACCAGTTTTGGGGAGAGGGCCATCAGGGCCATCCCAATCATATGCCTAGTCCTCAGCAAGCGCACCGCCATCTGTGCATAGTTATCAGCAGAGCAGTCACTTGAGATTAGGTTCAGACAGTAGGAGACCCCATCATTCCGGTCGTCCAAGAGGGAGATCACAGCAGCAGGAGAGGGCTTCACGCCCCAAGTGTGGGAGGTTCCATTCCGAGACTTGTTATTTGGATATTCCGGTGTGTTATAGATTCAGGGTGAGAGGTCATATCCAGCGGGACTGTCGTGCGCCCAGTCAGGGCATGGATAGGGGATTGGCTCAGTCATCTGGTTCTTCAGCTGCCACATCATCCGTGCGTCCTCTAGCCCCAGCAGGGCGCAGTGTAGTTAGGGGTGGAGCTCGTGGTAGAGGTGTACCCAGCCGGTTTTACGCCTTGAGTGGTCGCCAGAGTGCAAAGGCCTCCCCAGATGTTGCTACAGGTATCTTGTCTATTCAGGCCATTGATTTTTATGCTCTTATTGATCTGGGGTCCTCTTTGTCTTATGTCACCCCATTCATTGCTTCAAGTTTTGGGGTAGAACCCGAATAGCTTCATGAGTCGTTCTTTGTATCGACTCCGGTTGGTGATTCTATTACAGCCACACGAGTTTATAGTAATTGTGTTGTCATGGTATGTGGTCGTGCTACCACGACCGATCTTATTGAGCTTGAAATGGTGGATTTTAATGTGATTATGGGAATGGACTGGCTTTATTCGTGCTTTGCTAAACTTGACTGCCGAACGAGAGTCATGAGGCTTGATGAGTTCCCTAATGAGCCGGTTATTGAGTGGAAGGGAAATGGTGTGGTGCCGAAAGGTCATGCCCCAAAAACTGAGGGGCGCGACTGGCACTCGACCGGGTAGCCCCCAGCCAAGCGGACCTGGGTGCCTTTCCTATTCCACGTGATACCCTGTGTTTCCATTACCCATTAACCAAGTGAAATAGCCATTTATATTTTTAAACACATTCTTACGAGATTTACATAACATACATAGTTACTTAGCGTGGTTTACAAGTTATAGTGCCCAAAATACATAAGTACATAACCCACATTTCCTGTCTACGGAGCTTTTAGAGATACAGAAGAGTGTTACAATACTTGCCGGTAACAAGGCTCCGACTATACCTTACGCAAATACCAAAATATAATTTTCGAGGGGGATAAGCGGCATGAGCCACGCAGGGCCCCGAGAGGAAAGGGGCTCACCAATTCAACTGACAGGAGGTGAAGGAGTGCTACTGTCGGTGGGCTGGAGTACCTGTTATAGAACCACCTACAATCATAATACGAATGTAGCGCCCCCGGCAAAAGGAACGTCAGTAATTTGAATTGTACTAGTATGTATGAACAAACTTTACCCCAAGTAAAATCAAGAAATACATAGATAACAAATAGTAATAGAATCAACAATCAAATGCACATGATCAAAGGAACAACCAAAGCCAAACAAACTCCACAATCTCCCCTTTTCCCCTTTCAACATTATTTCATCACATCAATGATTTCACAACTTTCACATATTTTTATTTCAATAGTGATTTCGATCACTTTTCCACCCTTATTACCTCGGCCACCCTTATTACCTCGGCCACCCTTATCACCACAACCCACACCTTATAACTTCGTGTTGCGGCGCGAAACCTGATCCCACCAGACAATTACAANCCACAACAAGTCACAGATGATATTACCACCGTTGTTTCAATTGCATCAATTACGATTTCTTTTCTATCATTTGTTACATAGCTCTTACCACATAACCATATTCATACACACACACATTTGGTTTGTTGCCATTTATTTACGCCACTATACACATTCCCACGTTTGGACACATTAAGATTCTTTCATCCGTTAACACATACTTCTATGTCGACATCCTCAAGCATTTACAAACTTTGCACATAATAATATAGGCACATCAAATCACTTCTCACAATCACATATAACTTGGTGGTATGGAAATCAACTAAGTCAATCAATTCACATATTTTCATAAAAGGTACACATATTGTATGCTCGTCATAATAAGGGGATTCTACAAGAGTTAAAGTTATCCATACATACCTCAAAGAGCTTTTTCTTAATTTACTACAACGTTCCGGAAATTCTAGCCATGCCCATCTACTTCGAGACATAACAAAATTGAACACAAATTAGAAAGATATTTATAATTCTAGCTCATTTGAGCATTTTATCAAATAGTAGTTGAGCATCTTGATTTCTAATCTCTTTTACAAAATTTCCTTCATTCCCTAACCCAATTTTTACTTATTTATGTTCAATAATCTTCCCATAAACCTAAGTTGTACATGCATTTATACATAATACTAATACACCCAAGAATCATACCTCAATAACCCATCTTATACTCCAAACTCGAAATTAAAGTCTAGGGTATAGAACCTTACATCTTAGATGAAGAACTTATGATTGAGTTCTTTGATTCTTGAGGATTGATGCAAGATTTGGATGATTTAAATGTTGGGTTCCTTCTTCTCTCTCTAAAATGCTCTCACCTCTCTCTAATTTTGTTCAAAAAATATGTTAAAATAAGGGGTTGGGGTGTTTTATTGAAGAATGGGTCGGATTTAAAATTTAGAAAAATAAGAGCCCGAGTTAGGTATGCGATCGCACTTTGCGATCGCAGAGTGGAAATGCGGTCCACAGAATGGACCGCAAAAGTGCTCCCAAAATCTGAACACACTGCCTGGGTATGTGGTAAAAATGCGGTCCGCATACCCATTATGCGGTCTCATAGTGCACCGCAGAATTGCCCCTCACAAAATCCCAAGGGAAATATGCGACGACTATGCGGTCCGCATATCCTTTATGCGATCGCATATTAGACCGCATATTTAACCTCCAATTCGACCAACACACTGACTC